GATCTCGGCTCACTGCAACCTCCACCTCCCAGCTTCAAGCAATTCTCCTGCCTCACTCTCCCGAGTAGCTGGGACTACAGGTGCCTGCCACCACACCTGGCTAATTTTTACATTTCTACTAGAGATGGGGTCTTACCATGTTGGCCAAACTGGTCTTGAATTCCTGATCCCAGGTGATCTGCCCTCCTTGGCCTCCCATAGTGCTGGGATTACAGGTATGAGCCACTGCCTGGCCAATTTTTTTTTTCTTTTTTTTTTTTTTTTTAAAGATAGATTCTCCCTCTGTGGCCCAGGATGGAGTGCAGTGGTGCAATCTTGGCTCACTTTAACCTCCACCTCCTGGGTTCAAGCGATTCTTGTGACTCAGCCTCTGGAACGGCTGGGACTACAGGCATGCGCCACCACGACCACTTAATTTTTTTTTCTTTTTTTTTTTTTCTTTTTTGAGACAAAGTCTTACTCTTTTCCCCTAGGCTGGAGTGCAATGGTGCTATCTCGGCTCACTGCAACCTCCACCTCCCGAGTTCAAGCGATTTTCCTGCCTCAGCCCCACCGAATAGCTGGGATTACAGGCATGCGACACCACGTCTGGCTAGTTTTGGTGTTTTTAGTAGAGGCAGGGTTTCACCATGTTGGCCAGGCTGGTCTCGAACTCTTGACCTCAGGTGATCCACCCGCCTTGGCCTCCCAAAGTGCTGGGATTGCAGGAGTGAGCCACCACGCCCGGCCTCGACCGGCCGATTTTTGTAATTTTAGTAGAGTTGGGGTTTCACCATGTTGGCCAGGCTGGTCTCGAATTCCTGACCTCAAGTGATCTGCCTTCCAAAGTGCTGGGATTACAGGCATGAGCCTATATAGATTTAAATTTGGTGCACAAAGGAATAGGCCACCAGAGCATGATCTTGAGCAGGAAGTCCAAGAAGAGAGACACAGCATTTTCTTGAAGGCCTGGGGTAGAATAAGATCAGAGTGTATGTGAAAAACCAGTAGACTTTTGGTGCAGGTGCAGTGGCTCATGCCTGTAATCCCAGCACTTTCAGAGGCCGAGGCAGGCAGATCGCTTGAACCCAGGAGTTTAGGATCAGCCTGGCCAGTATGGTGAAACCTCATCTCTACAAAATATACAAAAATTAGCCAGGCATGGTGGCACATGCCGGTGGTCCCAGCAACTTGTGAGGCTGAGGTGGGAGGATCACTTGAGCCTGGGAGGCACAGGTTGAAGTGAGCTACATTTGTGCCACTGCACTCCAGCCTTAGCGACAGAGCCACACTCTGTCTCAAAACATACAAACCAAAAAAAACCAAACCAAAAAAACCAGTAGACTTTCAGAGGAATAGATACCATTTTTTTCTTCCTTAATCCTCTGCCTTCTAGTTAATTCTACAGTCCAAAAACAAACAAAAAAAAAAAATAGAGAGGAAGGAGATTTGACAAGACAAAGGATTTAGAAAAGAAAGGCAGGTGTTAGTCATGTGGAAAAAAAAGGAAGTATTTGTGTTTACAAGAATCCTGACAGTATCTGAGAATGTAGAATGAAGAATATTTTCCATTTGTTAAAAAATCCAGGCTAAGCATATGAAATACTCAGGGTTACCCCTCTGACCTCGTCTTGGGGTGTTTCAGCCTACCATGGTTACCCCTGTTAGTTAAGCCTTATCACAGAATCACAAAGGCCCACAGAGTGAAGGTGGCTACGAAGAGCTCTCATGAAAAGTAGGCTTGGCATGGTGGCTTACACCTGTAATCCCAGCACTTTGAGAGGTCAAGATGGGTGGATCACTTGAGCCCAGGAGTTTGAGATCTGGACAACATGGCAAAACTGCATCTCTACAAAGATACAAAAATTAGATGGACATGGTAGCATGTGCCTGTAGTCCCAGCCACTCAGGAGGCTAAGGTGAGAGGATGGCTTGAGCCTGGGAGGTCGAGGCTACAGTGAGCCAAGATAGAGCCACTGCACTCCAGCCTGGACAACAGAGCCAGACCCTGTCTCAAAAAAAAAAAAAAGAAAGAGAGAGAGAGAAAGAGAAAGAAAGAGGGAAAGAAGGAAAGAAAGAAAGAGAGAGAAAAAAGAAAAGAAAAAAACAGAGAGAGAGAGAGAAAGAAAGAAAAGAAAAAAGTAAAGAAAAAAGAAAAGTAGAAGTTAGTCATCCAGGCCAAGAGTATGAAGTTTGTCTTCAAAGAACTGTTGAATTTGTCAGGGAATGAGATGTAGACATCTGACGAACACGTTTATTTATTAGAGGTTACGAGACTAGTGAGTAGGGTGGAAGGAGGAAAGCGGCAGGAAAATCATACTGGAAAGATAGGTTGGGAACCAACTGTGAAGGACCTTGTACGTCAATCCAAGGAATGTGACCTTCAACCTAGAGCAGAGGTGACAAACTCAAAATCCCACAGAGACGAGGCTTGCCAATGAGGAAAGCCAACCAGATGTAAGGCAATAGGGAGTGGTGGGGACTGTGGCAAACAGTAGAGCTCATTCTCTGTCTCTACTTTGTCTACTCTCAGCTCCAGCTGATTGTTTCCATGTGGGAGTGTCGCTCCAGTGTGGCCAGATCTTCCAGTGTTCTAAGAGACAACAGAAATCCAGGTTTTTATAGGACGCCACCAGGTTTTAAAAACATATGGGCCAAGCCAGGCTGGTTTTTAAACCAGATATGGTCCATAGACCATCTTTCTGGTGCCTTGGCAGATTGAAGGGA